TGCGTCTCCCCGCTTATGCCTCACCATCACCCCAACCATCCGGCGAGCATGCATCGAGGGCCTCTGTGCAGGGCAGCGTGCTGGCTCCCGTGGGCCCTGACGTGCTGGAGCCGCACCATTGTCGTGAAGACAGACAGCTACCGGGTGTCGTAAACTAGCTGAAAAGCTCCTCTCAGGTGGTACAAGCGCTCAGAGGAAAGGGAAACGTGGGATAAGGCGGTGGAGAGCTGTTGGGATGGGTGGGTGGTCAGCTTTAGCCAAGCGGTTGGCGTCTCTGAGGAGGGGACATCCAAACAGACCGGCGTGAGGAGAAGGGAGGCGAAAATGCTGTGCCTGTCCGCAGGTGACGGGCACGGGTGGGAATGAGCTCTGCCGTGCTGCCGGAGCAGAGAGGGGTCCTGTGTGGCCGGCTTCCCTGAGGGTGGGAGGGGCCGAGGCCAGAGGGAAGGCGGGACCCAATGATGGGCGGGCGGGGCAGGCCTCCGTAAGGCCGGGGGCGGTGACATGGGACCTCCATGGGACCTGCATGAAGATGCTCGGGGATGCGAGGTGGCTGTGTTGGGGGCCCCAGGAGTGTCCGGCAGGCCTGGAGGGGCAGTGAGCCAGGAAGAGCCTGTGGCCAGGTCAAGGAGTGGGGTCCTCATTCTCAGAAGTGGGCAGGAAGCTCAGGGAAGATGCTGGTGCACGGGCCTAAAACGCTGGGCACGTGGCTCCAGACATGCCACCCTGCGACCTGGAGACTGGCCGAGGAGGTTGTGGTGGGGCCAGGAGTGGGGGCGAGCATTCCCCTGGTTGGAAGACTACCAGGGAGTCAGTGGGTGGCTCCCCCAAGCACCTTCTTCTGCAAGGTCCACAGGCTTCCCTCTCTTGTGTCCCTCCTTCCCCTGCTGCACCTGCCTGTCCCCAGGCCAACCGCGAGCTGCCTCACACACAAGTTTCCGTTTACGGCCGTGGGCATTTGGAGTGCAGACCCTGGGCTCGGGCTCGGAGCCCTCCGGCCGTGCCTTCCTGTGGTGGACAGGCCGCTTTGAGGGTTCCCTTCCCCGTTTCCCCACACAGACCATTGGCTCAGGTCCAGACTTCCTTGGAGCAGTGTAGGGGAGGTACCTGAGCCCCTGTGGGCTCCTGCCGAGTGCGGGGGAGTGCGGGGACGGAGTGAGGACAAGGGTCAGGCTTCCTGAAGCTGCCCGCCCCCACCAAGGTCCCTTCTTCAGCCCTGCCGAACGGCCTGGTGGCCAGCAGAGGGCGTCCTTGCCCCTCTTATTCCTCCGTCCACCTTTTTCTGGTAATTGATTGCCTAATTTCCTCTTTATGTGAAAGAAAGCAGATATCAAGTAATTTGCAGCAATAACCTGCTAATGCTAGGCCAGTATCGAAACTCCCCTGTTCATTTCAAGTGGCAGATAAAACACTAATACATAATTATCCTTGCAAATTGGATTGTTTTAAATAACCAAAAGGCTACGGCCAGGAGAAAGCGATCCCATCTCCCTTGAGTTACTATTGCAGTGTAATTGCCGCGTTCAATCAATTTCCCTGGCATTAGAAATTCCATCACAATCAACATTAAGCTTTATTCATTGTGATGGCTAAGAGCCGGGCCATTTCTCCTCTTTTTCTTAACTGGCAAAATTAATCAGGGAAAAGATTTTAAACATTTACCCGTGCGAAAGAGGTCAGCTCTGCCACTATATTGCTCAGCAGATAAGGGGGCTAATAAAAAGAAAATTGAATTACTAATGATCACCAGGAACAGAGTATATAAAACCTGGCAATCGCCAGTTCAGGAAAAGGGAGAATCAATTTTCTTGGGACAAGGTGTGCTCATTTTTTATTTTGGCTCATATTATCAGCAATTTAATTTGAGAGCGCATAAACAGGAGGAAACAGTTAGGGAATAATGAGCCCGGAGGTGTAAGTGCCGCAGGCTATATGCTGTACACAATTTATTTGGCACAACAGATAATCGCTTTAATTGAATTCAAAACTGCATTGTTCAGCAGCCGTGTGGCCGCTGGTGCCTTGGGCCTTGGGGACTGAGCATTATGAAGATCTTGCCCGACTCCTCCTCCTGCTGCCTCCCCTCTGCCTTTCCCTCGGCCTCCCCTCCCGGGCTCCCCTGCCCTCCAACCCTCCTGCCCGGTTCACCCCGAGTCAGACTTTGGTGGGGGGGGGGTGGGCCAGGTGGCCACTTGGGGGCACCGTGTGACCCCCCCCCCCTTTCTGTGCTCCCCACCTCTCTGCCTCTCGCCTCCCTTCCTCCACTTTTCTTCTGGGGATGAGTCTGTTGGCAGCTGGAGTATCAGGAGGTGACACTTGAGGAGGGGCCCAGGGGAGCTTCGTTTGCTGAGGATTGGTGGGGTCTGCCCCATTTTAGCTGCACAGAGACCCTGCTTGATCCGTCTCAGGGCGTCCAAACAGTGGAGAAAGCAGAGAGAAGAAAACCTCTCATAGACCTCAAGAACGGGTTCCGATTTACCACCCATGTAATTGTGGCAATTGGTGGTTCCAGCTTGTGGTGGTCACAGCGCACACGGCTCACGTTGGCCCCTGCTCTGTTGCAGGGTCTGGGTGTCTGGGCCAGCTCGGCTTGTCTCTGTCCACACCGGGCCCAAGGCCGTGACTTGGGCCACCCTGAGGCGGCAGGCTTGGTGTGCGCCTGCAGTGTGGCTTGTATAGAGTGGGTATTTCCCAGCCCACTCGCACCCGTGCCCTGGGCCAGGGGGCTTCAAAGTGGCCACAGGTCATGGGGTCC